GTTCCCTGTGCCCATCTTCTTTCGGAATTCTGGGAACGTCGCTTAACGCCCGGTCGTCCAGTGTCGTGCCAACGCGGTTTGCGCTGAATATTAGATAAAATAATAATAGGCATTGAGGAAAATATAAAATATGTAAGTTTTTTTTTTTGTTTATTATACTAGGACACGTGCCCAAGTGCCCTTACGGGCAAACCGCCACTGGTTCACATGTCGATGGAAACAACAATGATTTAAATCTATTAATTTAAACTTCGTTTAACACAACGGTAGAATCGACCCTTAGAAAGTTAAAAAATTAACCTTAGGAGTACTGAAGGTTTTCTTGGAATTTGGGTGACATTCCAAAATATTTGTTTCTGAACAAATGCTGCTGCCATTTAAAATTTTGAAGGTATTTATGCAAAAAGATATAAATTATTTACATATTAGTTTTAGTTTGAAGAATGTTAAATGTAATAATAAAAATTCCTATCTGTGTATTAACATATGTATATATCGTGATTGGTTATCAAAACAAGCAAGCTTTAAGTAATATACGGCTGTGAAGCTTTGTAAAATGATAACACGGTGATTAAACTTAATTGTTTTGTTAGATAAAAAGCATGGTGATCTAATTATGTAACTATTTAAAACATTGACTCGTTAAGTAGCACGATAAACATACCAATGTTTTATTGTACCCACCACCAATGAAAAATATGGACAAAATAAAAACTAATAAAGTTGATTTAGTTTAAACAGTAGCTCTTAAAAAAAAGTGAAAGAATTTAGTTGTTTTAAAATAAGTATAGTTGATAATTACTTATATGTTTATAGATTTAGGTCAAGTGATGATACAAAGTATCAGTACAGTAGAGCTTTTTTTTGAATAAAAAACTACTCAGAGGAATGCCATATTGCTAATTTTCGTTTAATCTACACCTTATTTTCATCGTTCATGTTTCAAAAATTTCTTACTTTTGGTGATAAGTTGGAGTACAGTAATTTTTAAGAATTTTTTCAATAAATCGTTAAAGAAAAAGTAACCCAAACGAACGTATTATACATTTTCGAAATTGTTTGACTCAAAAAAAAATAATGTTCGTTCCATCTGCACCTTATTCTCAACGTTCATGATTTTTCAGATTTTTCTTTTAAAAATAAGCAATTTTTAGTTGATTTTTCTAAAAATGTTCAAAGGAAAATGACGCAAGTGAACGTAGTACACATTTTTGAAAGAGCTTCTATTTGTGGCAGTAAAGGCTCCCTCTAAAACTGACCACCCCCAAGATTAAAAAGTCACTTTATTCTGTGACGGGAAAAAAGTTAATATTTTATCTTTCTTGACAGGACCTACTAAAATATCACTTTTTATTAAATTACTTTTTCCCCAATACATAAATATATGCGTTTTCGTAAATTTACTTGGAAATAGTTTTAAAGATGATTTTGTCACTTCGGAGTACATACATCGCTGGTTCAGAACAAGACTGGACTAACGTCTAACTCAGAAAAATGCGATATTGAGTTTTTGCAGTAATTCCTCTACTAGATTAGATTTAAGGCTGTGGGCCATGTGGCCTCCCCCACTTCGACCTTTTCAGATATATTGTGGATATCCTTATCGTTATTTAGAGTAACTAACTTGTCTAATTCGGTTTTTTATAGTAGACTCCATACACTGGGAAGTAGTTCTCCGGTATAGCTAGTTGCCCTTGGTTTTTTTCTCCAAGTGTAAGGAATCTCAGTCTTGCTAGACCTTCGCAGTAGCACAATACGTGTACTGCCGTTTCCTCCTCTTCCTGGCAGAATCGGTACAAGGTCTCTTCTGTCAGACTGATATTATACATATGTTTGTTAAGCCTACAATGCCCTGTTAATAGACCTACTAGTACTCTAGTATTTTTCCTATTAAGGCTAATTCCTTTACTAACTCTATGCAAGACCGCTTCTTAAATTTAAATAGCTTAGTGGACCACCCCTAGATAGTGTGCGGGTAATTAAGCCATTTTGAGTTAATGGAGGGGGGAAGGGTCGTGCAACGTGCAAGAGTGAATCATCTCAGTTGATCATTGTCACACATGGGGGACGGTGCGTTTCTATTGTGCAATAGTGGATTATTGTGTGCAGGGGAGTTTCTCCATTGGTTCATTTATGCGGTGAACACCCAGTTAAATTTCATAAACACACATTATTTTAAAATGTACAAATATTTATTCAATTTTAATAATTTTATTGTTTTCATACGTGTTAATATCTATTTTTGGGTACGCCACTGCGCTCTGGCTAATCCCGTTTCCGTGGCGCACTTTTATAAGTAAGCCCAAAGAAGTAAGAAGTGTTTTCGAAAGTCTTTAGCTAAAAAGAGATGTCACACGTTAATAGATCCGTGAAACGTAGTGAAACAAACATAAAATCACTTAAATCAGCTTAATTTGCGTAACGCACACAGTGAAGTCATAAAGTAGGGCGGGGCATACGAACTTTCCAATCATTGATATAAAATAAAGAGGAGATGCTATGACAATACTAAAAGTGTCCGCACAGTTTTGCTTCATATGTCAAACTCGAGCAAGTGGAGTTAATCAGTTTTAGTAAAAATAACTACCATTTTTTTTTTAAATAACATGACTTAAATGATATTAAAACATTTTCATTAAGTCAATCTTCAAATATAAAATTATTAACCTCAAATTAATCAAAATACGACTCAAAGTGCGTTCACTTGCCATATCGCAAGATAGTGTTTATGTCCTCTCTACATTATTTTATCGTGATGTTTCTAATTAAGCTGTCAAACTCTAAAATTCACCATAAGACAATTTTAATTGTGTTTATTTAAAAACCTTGTTTATATAAAACTGCGAATTTAGTCAATTGGAAGTATGTGTGTCAATTCAATGATTTTTAACGAAACACGTCTCCAAGCTCCAGGTAAAACATTATTATTTTTGAGCTTATGTTTATATTTTGTTTTGTTCCAGCTTCTACAAAATAGTCATGTGTTTTAAACCTAACTCTAAAACAGAAAACTGCGTAAATGGATACAATGTCACAGCTTATATTGTATAAGCTGTGACAATGTCATGGAAATGGAGCCAAACTGACATTACAGTTTTTTTTTAAAGAAGATATAAAAAATATTGCACTTGGCTAAATTAATTCAAGAAACTAAATAGTTTATGTCTATGATAGGTATGTACTTATATCATGAAGACTTAATTAAGTATGTACCAATATCTGTACCTGGGAAGTAAACTGAACTGTGTCTATTTATAGAGGCATGTTGGAGGTATATGAAACTATGTCATAGAAAAATTGTTATCGGACCATATAAATATGTAACCAAAACTAACAAGTCATGTACAGGGTGTTAATTCATGCGACAAAATTTAGGGGGTGATTGCTCGTATGAAATTAAGATGGGTCTTTCCTATAACAAAATTTCCTCAGCCTTTCCGAGCTTTCACCCTTAAAAAGTGTGAGTTTTTATTTTTTTTTCTAAAATTTCAGTAAAGCTAGAAACTTGAAATTCTGTAATTTTCGTGCACTCGCAAAGGACTAACCACGGGTTTTTTCAATGGGTTTTCTTTGTCCGATGTCACGTCTTTTGTCTGCACGATAAGTCAAAAACGAAAAATGATATCAACTTTAAAAGTTTAAGCAAAAAACAAGCTCTATATGGAGACAAAGTCTATTGATTTTGAAAAAATCTGATTAAAAATAAGGGGTTAATATGGGTTGATATTAAAAAAAATCCAAAATTAAAAACGAAAAACAAAAAGCGATAACAAAATGAAATTTTTAGCAAACATCAAGCTCTATAAGGAGAAGAATCCCTTTGATTTTGAAAAATAATCTAATTAAAAATGTGGGTTTAAGGGGGGTTGAAATTAAAAAAAAATCAAATCAAAAATGAAAAACGAAATACACATGAAATTTTTAGTAAAAATCAAGCTCTATGAGCAGATGAGGCCTATTGATTGTGAAAAAATTTTTAATAAAAGTGAGGGGGGTTAAGGGAGGTTAAAATATTTAAAAAAATTCTAACTCAAAAACGAACAGTAATATCAACTTGAAAATTTTGGAAAATCAAGCTCAATAAGGGTATGAAAAAAATTGATTGAAAATGGGAGTTAAAGGGGGTTTGTTGAACTGTGAAGAGTATAATTTAGAATGCCGCACATTTTGTATCTTGATAATGGTACGTATTGTGATGGGACTGATGTTATAAAATAAACATTTTAGTTCACTTGGTTTACCTCATATAATAAAAACAGTGTAACCTCTCTAATCCGAACACCTAATTGTCAGACCTTGTTCGGATTATTGAATTGTTCGGATTAACGAATATACAATAAAACACCTCTTACACATTTTTAGACCTTTAGATCTATGTATGTATATTGATTTTTGTACATTTAAATTCATTATCAAACTACATATGTATGTATGTAAATGTAATGCAGGTCTTTTCCTGTCAGCGTTCGGATTACAGAGGCGGCGTTCGGACTATCTCGCATCACGATTTGCGTTCGGATTAGCGTGATTCGGATTAGCGTGGGTTCGGATTATCGAGGTTGCACTGTATCTGTTTTTAGTTAACGCCTGTATTTGGGCCACTATTTACTACAAATATTTTAAATTTTATTTGTGTATGTCAAATACCTAGTCTCTAAAGAAAACGCCTATAAAAGATGGACGGACAGACACACACGGAGGTGCCAAATTGGTGACAAAACACTAATAATTAAGATTCTAACTGTATCGCATATTAGGTCAAATAAGACACAAGTACTGCTACAACTATCGCGAACATGAGAAACTCAAATCGACTTGAAAATTATCGGAGCGTTCTTCTTATAATAGATACTTTTATTTCTTATTAAGACGCTTAATTTCAGCTACTGTTTAAACTGAATCGACTGATTTAAAGTTAGCTACATCTAAGCAATCTACTAGCCTAAAAAAACATACTGCAGCAATAGTATGAACTTCATTCACACTTATCTAATATTTACGTTTCGTTATCATTTTGTAGCCCAGTAGTACCGTTATAGTTGAAGAATGTAGCTTTTGAGGGTCTTCGAAAATGGACATCGAAATATCTCACTAACCGTCCTAATATTATGGGCTGTGATAATCTGGCAAAAAATCAAATACAAAATATATGTTAAATTACTGCATTTCTTACCTTGGTTTGTAATTATGATGAAGAAAAAATAGATAAATAATTATTTATTTTAGTAATCCAAGGCACCACATAAGATTAATCTAAATATCTCCATATAGCATTTGCAAAAAAATAAAGTTAGTAATAATGCAATATTTTTTTTATTTTAAGTTAATTTTATATTTGTTTAACCTAATATTATGCAGTGCATCGAATTACCAATAAAATTAGCTTTTAAATGAAGTGCAACACTCTACAATACGTAACAGTTTTTTTTATCTCGCTGGAGGGTGCTAAAATCAAAATTAACGCACAAACAATCAAATTTCTGAATTTCCCATAGCAGTACAACCTCTACTTAAACAAAAATGAGGGGTTGACTACCATCCTGAATAGATCTCGTAGGAATACAGAAACTTTTATAACGTCTGATACTCCGAGGAGTTTAAAATTCGACATGTTTAAGCGTTTTTCTCTATTCTTGAAAATAAACTACATGTATAATATTAAAAAATAATTAAAAATGCAATTAAAATGCACCGCCTATGAACTTATCTTACATGCATCGTTCAAGGTAATCCTAAAATTGCATTCTCATTATCCTTGCATAACGAGTATTATACCACTATTAAAAACAATTATTAAATGCTCATTTGAAATAAAAAAAAAATACGATTCTTCCTTACATTGTATCGCCAAAGATAAAAATGCTGTTATTCAAAAGAAATGAGGTGCTCTTGACATTTATAAGTGTTGGGTACACGTAGAAAGAAAAATATTTATTGCCGTGGACATTATACAGTATTCTACTTGCAAGGAATGGATATTATCCGCCGATTATAAATAATAAAAAAAATACTTCAAAATTAAGATGAAATGTATCAAAAAGGAACTAACCTTACAGCTTCTGATATGACTAAAACTACTCCCAACGCAATGTACTCCCAAGCGAAAGCTCGCAAGAGCACTCTTTGCAAGGACGGAGTGGATTTCTTTTTTCTCGCCCGTTCCTCTTCATCTTTCCAATATCTCTCTACTTTGTTTCCTAGATAAGCAGATTTGTGCTCTTTCAGCGTTTCCGTCAAATCGGCTTCTTCCAAGTCGCGTTTGAATCCGCGAATGAAGGTGGGAATCGTGTAACTGAAATTAAAGAAATTAATATACAAAATAATTTAAGCTTCCATACAACTATTCGATTTATAAAATACCTAAAAAGTGTTTTCCGGTACACTGAAAAAAAGTCATTGTATTGCCCATACCAAAAATATGACGTCCGACTGAATTAGGTCACTTGAGAGGTATAAGTATTCTACCAGTATTATCAAAAAATCTGATGTATCCAAAACATGAATTTCCTGTATGTCTAGTTATTACAGGCTCTCTCTGGTTATTTTGTACAACTTATTGTATCACCCATGTAAATGTTTAGAGGATGAACTAAATATATACATTTTCCACACACACATCTTATTAAAAACATTTTGTTACATATATTGCCAATGATTGATAATACTAAAAAACTAAAATTAATCGTATCTTATTGCACATATTGTCGCCAAAAATATAGATGTTCTAGTCAACCAGTTAATTGTCTGGCATTTGGAAAAGAACCTTTTGGATGGATTTGGTACTGATCAGTACTCTGAAAACATATTCTCTATGCAGCTTTCTAATGTTGAAGAGTATGGACAGATCAAGATGGAAGTCTGATACCCACTCATAAGACTCTGCCACCAGACATAACAGAACTTATATCATGCAAAGGCAAAAAAGGTACTATACACCGATAATTTTCATAGACGTGTAATATTTTAACAATATTATTGTGTTCTAGACTGTGGAAACAAAATTTGCAAATGCAGGAAAAAAATGGTTTCTGCACCTGTATAGCACAGAAAAACTGCAGAAATTGACCACAGCCGGTAATGTTTTGGGAAATGTTGATTCGTGTGGTGAATCTAATTCTGATTAGTTTGAAAGTCTTGTACTTATATATTTTAATATTATTAATTTATGTTTTATATACTTCTAATTATTATTATAATAATTTATATTGGGAATTTATTATATATACAAAGCAATAGCCTTACTGTTTATAAACTATACTTATATATACTGTGTTTATACCTTCAATAAATAGTTTATATTTTCTTATTTTTTATTTTCCTCAAAAAATAAAAAAAAAAAATCATGAAGTAATTAATACGCCCTATATGAAACATTATTCATAGCGGATAAATCAATAATCCCTGTATAAAATAATGTAAGAGAGTCAAACTGATTGCATATATTTCATCACTGAGAGAGACGCATAGAGAGTCGAGAGGCTCTACCACATACTCTGATTTGTGGGCTCTACGTTCAATGTTTGCTTTCCATGACATCACTAATTGTTTATAAAGCTATTGCATAGCTTTTATCGCGGGCTTTGAGCGCGGCGACCGAATCAAGAAATTCCGTAACGACCGTAATGAAAATAAACCTAACACCCCCCACTCCGACCGGCACAGTGGTGCGGCGTTGAATGCCGCCGTGGAAGGTTTTATCCAAATCCGACCCTATTCGTATTAGTATGAAGCGGAGTTAAATATACGTCTGCGGACTGGAACGTTTTTGCAATACAAGAGCTTTCTCTGGCTTCTAATAAATTGGTATAACAAATGTTCCCGGCTGGCGTAAATATTAGATATTAATTTTTTTGCAAGATTTATAAAATATTAATTTTAAGCTATTGCATAGCTTTTATCGCGGGCTTTGAGCGCGGCGTACCGAATTAAGAAATTCCGTAACGAAAATAAACCTAACACCCCCACTCCGACCGGCACATCAATGGCGGCGGAATAATACATGTATTGTAAGATAATAAAGATATTTTAAAAAATATTAACTTCTCATTTATTCAATAAAAAATGGAAAAATGGAAAAATCGAAATATCGAAATATCGAAATATCGAAATATCGAAATATCGAAATATCGAAATATCGAAATATCGAAATATCGAAATATCGAAATATCGAAATATCGAAATATCGAAATATCGAAATATCGAAATATCGAAATATCGAAATATCTAAAAATCTAAAAATCGAAAAAGAAATTCCGTAACGAAAATAAACCTAACACCCCCCACTCCGACCGGCACAGCGGTGCGGCGTTGAAAGCCGTGCATCGTCTAACGTCGTTTCAGTTCGGCAGACTTCAGCACGGTGTTTGTGTGCGTGCGACTAGACGTATGCGTATTCGCTCCGTGCGCGACAGCAGCGCCAATTCGTTTTGATATTAATGGACTATTTCTGCGTATACTGACAAATGCAATTTTTAATAGAATTCGTAATTAAAAAGTATATGGATTTGTAAAACAAGTAAAACATTAATTTATTATTATTATACATTTTTATCTCTTAAATTAAAGAAAATTATGTATAATCAATAAAAATGAATAATAAAATATAGGCAGGCAACAGTATTTACTGGAAAATGTATGAGAAGTTGCCTAAGTCTAATAAGTTGTCATTGAAGAATTATTCTGTCAAAATAAAAAAATACCATTTAATAATCTCAGATTAGGAATAGCGTGAAGTTAAAATATATAAAAAGAGGATCGTTATTTATATTTTCATTTTTGTTGGAAAGAAAACATAGAATAAATAATTAAAACTGGTTTCCCATCAGTAAGCTACAAAATTGTATTCCAGCCACATAAATAATAATCAAAGGCAGAAATCTTGAAATCTAGTCCTTGCTGAATGAACATTTAAAAATAAAGGGATATTAAAGAACATCGTAAAATGATAATTTATTGTTTATTTAAAACCTTTCAAGTTTCTGATGTCTACTATTTCCAGCATTACTGTTATTATTACAAAAATAAAGGTAATTTTTCTTCTTATTGTACACCTATCCATTTATTTCTTTCGATTTAATTTCCACTTTGTTACTGAAATTTTTTATATAAGTTTCACTGTTTTTTTTTGATAGTATTTGTTCAATTTTCAACACAGCAACTCCGGTTGCTTACTGTATTGTTTTCACCTACTTTTTTGAAAAAAAGTAAAATGTATACGTGTATTTGATATGCCAAAATTACAAAATATCGCCCTAAAATGCACGAATTATCCGCAGCTAGCGCTAGTATCGCTTTTGCTTCCCTTTCCATGACTTCGCACGGAGCGAATAGACTAGCTGCTAACTACTCATAACTGATTCTATCTCTTTTAGACACAATTTCGGAAAAATTGAATTTGAAAATGAATAATGATCCACAAGAATCCACAACAAAATATGGGACCACCATTGACGCGGTATTTTCCAGATACTTAGAGGATATCAAGTCTCAAAATTATGTTTCTTATTTCAGTTACCATGAACCTATAGTTTCAATGATAAAAAAACCTGAATAACCTACATGTATTGTAAGATATTAAAATTATTTTAAACAATATTAACTTCTCATTTATTCAATAAAAGAAAAAAATTTGTTTTCTTATCGGTCACCACGCTCAAAAAGTGTAACTTGAATTAATATCAAAGAAAAAAAATACTGCATAAATAAAATAAATAAATAATTATACGTAATTGCATAAGTGATTGATAAAAAATGCTATGCAATAGCTCTACCGCGGCAGTCCCCGAGTGCCACGCGTATTTTTTTGCTATATTTTTCTTAATTTAAAAATAAAAAATATGGGGAAAGCACTCTTACCTTGTCAATACATAGGCGAAACTTTTATGACGAATAGTTTTTTTTTTATTTAGGTCTTCGTTTTTCGTAAAATGATAGGTTTATTTCTAAAAAAAGATTTTTTATACAAATTTGTAGATGGTTAAAACCGAGATATTCACGTTTAAATTGTTTTTCGACCATAAGGGCTAATGCAAAGACCTAACTGTGCATTAGACCAAAAAATAAGTTTTTTTTTCTCTATACAGTGGTATCAATATCTCGATTTTTTTTGATAGTGCCTTTTGCCCTATCTAATTTTGTATTACCTCCGCAATAAGGGTTAGCTTATCATCCCTGAAAAATTCAGCTTGTGACACCGAAGTGGGAGGCGAAGTCAAAATAAGTTTTAATCTACACCATACTATAACACAAAAAACATAGGAATAACATTTTTCGAATCCGTTTCTGTCTAGGCCTCAAAGTAATAATTGCAATCTGTATGAGTACGAGTCTTATTTTAGTAGAATGTGTCTTTTATTAGAATTACTATATACAAATTATGATTACATAATAGTTTTCAAATACCCAATTTAGTTGCTAATCAATAGATGGCGACATGATAAAACGCACTGTGTTTTAATTAGACATCAAAACAATAATAATTAAAATTAAAATGATGCAACAATAAATAGCGCACAAGGACGTGGAGTTAGTATCAGTTAAGCGAATATTTTATCTTGAATTTTTTTTGTAAAAGTACCCTAATAAAACATTCAATTGAGTCAAGCATTCCCTATACCTAAAGTTAATAATTTTGAGAGATTTTTAAATTTAAATGACAAAAAATATAATACACAAAATACTTTAGTTTTAACTGGTCACTGGTAGACTGTTGATTAGTAATTAGAATTTAACCAGCTACAGTTTATTATCGACTAAATAAGTTTGACAATTTCTAATTTTATTACATTTTTAAGTTGATTTTGAATCCTCAATAATGACAGTTCGTTATTACTAATGTCATAGTGTTCCAATAATTGTTTTTAAAAAGTCTATCCAGTTTTTACGAGGTACCTGTGTTAGGAATGAAGACGCAAGTTTTTCATATTTTTTTTATTTGTCAACGTTATCTCCTTTTAGGTCGATATACTTTTCCCAATGTTTCTGCCATTTCCTCAACCACTCCAAAAAGCAAAGAGTGGTCCATATAGTGGTTTCTTTTTAAAAATTCAAAAAAATTTACAAAAATCAATTATGTTTGGTATATTATTGGTTTAATCGGAAGAGCAAACATTTCCATTATTTATGGAACACGATTTCGTTTATGTGTGGTTGCCTCGGCTGACTTCGCAGTAGCGCATCCTGTCAACCCAATTTTTCAAGAACTTGGTGACGATTCCTAGCTCTATCTCACGAATGGCTTGCTTGATATTCGCCTTAACGGCATGAATTGATTGCATAGCATCGGTCCTTTAC